GGGCCACAAAGTTCCACTTAAACAACTCTTGGGGTCCCTGTTTCCTGGAACGAGGGGGGCCTCAGTGTCCCCTAGACACTTGGCCATCCCAAGTTCTGCTACGCTAGGGGGGACCTCAGAAATGCCCCCTAAACTACCTCCTCCCCTTTCCCCCCAACAGCTGCTGGCTCAGTGCCGCTGGCCTGCTGCCCCTCACCAGCTCCCGGCCTGGTTGGCACCTACCCACCAGGATGCTGGCAGTCCTGCCCTTCTCTCCCTCCTACCCCCCTGCTCCCAGCGCCTATGCCAACTGTGGGCCTGGGGTGGGGGAGGGTCACCCCTGTGCCTTGGTGCCAACCAGTCGGGCCCAGGTCCCCAGTCCCTACAGATAGGGCCAGAGACCCTGTTCTAAGCCACCTGCTCCCAAGGCAGCACGCTGGTCAGGGCTACAGAGAGCCCAGGAGGCTACGGACAGCCCCATGAGCAGTCATTGGAGGCTCCCCTCCCCAGCATGGGTGGGGGCCGATGTCTCTCCCAGCCACCAGGCGCCAGCCCCCTGGCATTCTCCCTGCCCAAGCATTTGCTTGGGCACCGAAGTCCTTGCAATTCCTGAAAGCCCTAGTGCCCGCAGTCTAGGAGGGAGTGGGGTGGGGCTTCTCTCTGCCCTTTGATCCCTATAAACGGAGGGAACCAGCCTAGCGGACAAGGGGCAGGGAGGGAGTTCACGGGGCCCCTCCATTTCACCCCTGCCAGGGACAGCAGGACAGGGTGTGGGCATCTCTTGGGTGGGGCCCTAAGGTAAGAATGGGCAGCATGTCTCAGCAGTGGAGATGGACGTTAAGTCATAGGTACGTGGTATCACATGGGAATGGGATGGCAAGAACACGGTGGGGGCATGCACAGGGTACCCATGTTCCAACCCATCCCAGTCCCGGCCTTTACCCCCAACCAGAAACATTTTCAGATTCAGCCAAATTGAGAGCCCATGGTGGACTACAACTCCCAGTGTGCACCACAACTGCTTTGCATGTACCTTGGGACTTGTAGTTTCCTTGAGAAGTCCTGAGCACCTCTCCCCCAGAGCCTTGCAGAAGGGGTAGGGAGGGCAGTGGACTTGGGCACGAATCTCCAAGGGTGCTGGGTTTAAGAAAAGGTAACAGGCTAGGTGACCCACGGTGGGAGGAGAGGACCCCTGTTCCCAGGCAAAGGGGGAGGAAAGGAGGAAGGAAGGAGGAGAGGATGTCTGTTGAAAGGGGCATATGGGTGGGGAGGAGTTGGGGGGGGGCGTGGAAACAGGAAGGAAACTGAAGCCAGAGACATGAGGTCGAAAGCAAGGGCTGGGGGGAGCCCCACTCCGAGGCCTCCCCCATTCTGGTGGCCAGGGGAGACTTAAGAGGAATTAGTGACGTCAAGTGGTAGCAAATTGGTACGTTTGTGGGGTTACTGGCTCCATATTCCTGCCACCAGTCCTCAGCCCTTGGATCTGGCACAGGTGTTCGCTGGCTAGGGAGCTCTGACGGCTGATCAGGTTCTGGAGATGCCGGCAGGCAGAGGAAGGGGTTGGGGAGGTCAGGGCCAGGCCTGATGGCGAGTATGGTGGTGGTGTGTGGGGGGTTAGGCCCAGATGTGGGGTCAAGGAAGAGTGCTGTCCTTTAGGGCAGAAGCAGCTGGGAGGCCTCAGCGAAGAGAGGGCTAAGATGCCAAGACGGCCAGCCTCCCACCCACCCCAGGCTGTGGGACAGAAGAAAGAGGGCAGCCCTCTCTGGCCTCCCTGGGACATTTGCTAAAGGTAGCTTGCCCTTGTCCCATTCCCTTGAACATTAAAGGTGGCAACTCAGGGCGGAGGGCGCAAGGTCAGAGATGGGCTGAGGACCTGCTATGAGGCCACTTATGCTGGACTCCCCAAGGCTGAGACAGACGCTCACAGGTTCCAACCAAGACTCTTGCCAAGACTTGGGCCTCGCTGGGTGGGGGTCTTCATTGCCCCCGCTGAAGACCTTGGTGGTGGATGGCAGTCCCTTCCCTATCCCCTTCCCCCTAGTTCCCCAGGCCCGCCTTGGCGCCTGGCCGCCTATGTGTTGGCAGGACTGGGGGGGCGGCGAGGCAACTTCAAACTGTCCGGGCAAAACGTCAAGTTTACTCACGAGTTTACTCAGCAGAAGGAGGGGGAAGAGGCCAGGGCGGGCACACCCCATGCCAGGGTCCTATCCGTATGCCTGTCCCCACCTTCCTCCCCCACCCTCCTCTTCAGCCGGAGGCCAAAACAGGCCCAGGCCTCAAGGCCTGGTGGCAGGGCAGTCTTAAATCTCAGGAAGGTCAGGGAGCCAAGCAGGGGGGAGGCAGGAAGCCCCGAAGCAGGCCCAGAGGCTTCTATCAGAGGGCAGTACCCCGCCTGGAGCCCATTCACTACCCATTTGGGGCCTCGGCCTTGGGCCAGGAGAACTGGGCCTCTCAGCCACCAAGAAGGGGCAGTACCAGGCCAGGCCTCCAACCATCTGAGCAATCCCCTGGGCAGTGACTTCTGACCCCAAATGCCTAGTCCCAGGCTGTGCCTCAGGCACCAGCATGATGCCATCCAGGCAGCCATAGGATTAGGGGCTGGTTCTCTCAGCCCTGGCTTGGAATGGGGGGCCGGCACCCTATCTGACCTACTTCCCTTTCCTCCCCACCTGCCTTCATTCTCTGCTTCTCTCCCCCAGCCCTTACTGTCCCCACCCCAGAGGCGCTCCACCCCCCATGCCCGCCGGGGGGCCCTCCCCCACCCTTCCCCAGGGTGCCAAGTGCAAGCACACAAAGGGCCCGATGGTGCATTGTTAGCCCAGCCCCCGCTGCCCGCCGCACCCTCCCGGGGCGGGCACTAGGCCAAGGAGGAGCTGGGGGCCCTGGGTGCCAGGGGGCACCATGGGTAAGGGGGAAGAGGACAGCACCTGTTCCCCAGACACTGGGGTCCATAGGAGCCAGGGTTGAGGAGTGATGAGAGTGCCCCATTAGAGCAAGGCCTGTCTCCTTGACACCTGAGCCTAGTGGGCACTGCCTTTTTTCTTCCCCAGTGCCCCTTTTTGGTGGTATTAACGCTTTCCTGACCCCTGCCCCGAGGCTGAGGGGTGTGGTACCCAAGGGAGGGGACAGTGTCTGGGGGTGCCAGGAGGCTGTGTCGTGCCCACAGCAACCATGTAACAGAGGCACGCTGGGGGAGCCGGGGTCCCGGGGGCCAGGGATGGGAGGCCCTGACAGAGATTTCTCCTTGTTTCATCAGCTGCTCCAGGGGGAGCCCCCTGCCCTTCTCCCCAGTCACTGCTAAGGAGGAACACCAAGCTCAGTCACAAATACGACGTCCCTTTCCAGCCCAGCCCAGCACTGCTGATGCCCACTCTTTTCCTCCCAACCCAGTGCCCACCTCCATGCCAGCTGCCCTGTAGTGCCAGGCGGGTACAGGGGTGACCAAACCAGTTGGTGTGGTGGCGAGCAGGAGGCAACCCCATAATGCTCCAGGCCTCACTACCCCCACATACACACACTCCCGCAGGGAACAGAGTTCCCATCCTGCTTTAACCCCTCACTGTCCAATCTGGCTCCCCCTGCCCCTGATAAACCACCTCCCTCCTCCAGGAATAAGCTGGGGGAAGGAGGAATAGCTGCGCTGACTCATTCCCGTTCTCAGTTCCAGCCAGGGGTCTCCAAGTCATTAGGGCGGGGGTCAATTCGAGAACGCCCTCCACCTGGCCCGGAAGCCAGGACAGCCTGCCGGTCTCCCCCTCTCCCCAGCACCCACTTCCGGTGTCCCAAACTAGGTCAGCAGCGCTCGTTTCCTGTGGGTCAGCTAGCACCGGCGCCTCTGCCCCTCCCCTGCTCCAGACCCAGGCTCCCCGCCCCCCCTGCCCCCCAGGGCGCCCCGAGGTCTCACCACGTTTCAGCTGCCCTTTGATACGTGGGGGTAGTGCGGGGCGGGGGGCAGGGGACCCGCCCTCTCTCTAAACACAAGCAGGGCCGGGGCGCCTGGGCAGGCACGTGTCCGGGCACAACCCGCTGCCCACACCGCCCCCCCCACTCCCAGCCCCCCCCCCAGCTCTGGCCGGGACACGTCGCTCTCTTACTTGGGGTGGGGTGGGAAGAGGGAGAGAAAACTGGGAATTCAAAGCAGCGCCCCCCACCCCTTTGAATGGCAGCCCTCTGCATGCGGCGCTCACTGTAGATTCTACAACAACACAGTAGCGACCCCCACCCTGGGTAGGGGCAGGTGCGCCGGCACCGGTGGACGTGGTGGGGGGGTGATGGTGGGAAGGAGAATTCTTTCCAGTCACCCACCCTCGCACTCGGGTTCTGGGGGGCATGAGCTGGCTCTGAAAAGGTGGCAGTGGATCTGGAGCCTGAAGGAAGGGAGTGGGATTGTGGGGTGGTGGAGACAGGAGGTACTTCTATGGCGCTCGGAGGTTGTCGCTGAGCCCCCCTACTGCTAGAGAGAGAGCGCAGCTTGGGAAGCGCAAGAAACCGAACAGTCCAGCCGGTAACTTTCCCCCAAGCCGCGGCTCCTCCTGTACCCCGCCACCCCCCATACAACTGGCCCGGGTCCAACCCACCGCGCCAGGGGGCGCGGAGGGGGGGGGGAGCGACTTGTCCTAGTTAGAGTCGGTCAGCGTTTCCATTCCCTCAACTCAGTCGGGTCAGGGGGTCTCCCCCTAAAGTCACGAAGGAGACTGGGGGAGCGCTTAGCGCGCCTCACCTCCTCTCCATCCCAGAGCCGCCAGTCTGTCTGATTCCAGAAGTGCAGACAAAGTTTCTGGGGACCCTCCGCCCAGGGTTGGGGGACGGCCGTAGTTCCTTCTCTACTCTTCCTCCCAGTGAAAACCAATTCCAACAACCTAGGGTGCTGGGAAGGTACGGGGAAGGGGAGCGGTGGGAATCTGGTCTGCATGCGTGTGTGTCTGGGGGGGGGGTCCCTCTTACAGGACGGACGAAGGACACTGCAGTAGTCTCGAGTCTGGGGGACCCCGAGCCGTGAGACAAAAGTGGGGTACACTCACCTCTTGGCCGTCGGGTCCGCTGGCTGGAGCTGCTGAGGCACCAGTTGTGAGGAGAAGCGCGTCCCCTGCCAGGCCCGGGGGCTTGGGGCCCTGCTCCGGTCCTGGTCAGAAGGCCGCGGTCAGTCGCTCGCCGCTCGCTGCTGGGGGGCTCCTCCTCCGCCGCCCTCTGCCTCCTCCTGCCGCCCGCCCCCCCTCGGCCGCC